CCCACTAACACCTCTTCCAGCAGCAACCTTAGTTTTTCCCAGGTGGTCTCCCATCCAGGTACTGACCATGCTCACTAAGTGCAGGGTATCTTCCATGTAATTTATGCCAAGTACTGGTCCTCAAATTAGTGTCTAATAAAGGCAGGTTAATATAAATGGGAGACAATTAGGTATTGCACCCTTTTAACACCTCATTGAAGCTCTGTGTTACACTAATATCATTCCCCGGAGCGCTTCCTCTTTCCACTTTCTCCAACCCAGAGTGGAAATACCAGGAGCCTTTGATCTCCGAATGTATCACACCCCTACTCCACCGGGTGCTGAAGTTTCTTACCTGAGTGCAGCCCTCTGTCCCATCAGCACTCCATTCCAAAACTCGGGAGCCACCATCCTGCGGGACTTCAAACCAGGTGCTGGGAAATGGCAGAATGAGGATGGAGAAACCGATACGCTGACCTTAATGCAGAGCAGCAATTTGAACTGAGTGTCCCCAGGTGCAAAGCGCCAAAGGAAGCTCACGATTGACCAAGCTCCACTGGAGACAGCCAGGCCTTTTTCAATCACAGTTCTCTTGGCCTCTGGTGCAGCAGTGACCCCTGGGAGCCACTGGGCATGTGCTGGCGAGCGATGACATCAGCGAGAGACACAGCAACTCGCCTGTCAGGTGCTGTGGAGCTCACATTGTGCCAGAGCAGCATACTAGCTGGTTCGTGGGTTCAATCAGCCTGGGTGGGATATGGCTCCCGCCCACAGCACCAAATCCCAACCGGCCGATTCCAAAATGGGTGAGTAGTACAACAGGAGATAATTGTCAATTCCAAATTTGAGAAAAAAAAAACAATTGACCCTGGCTTAGTAGCAATTAGAGAGACAGTAATAAAGATCGTAACAAGAGATAACTATGATGACTGCAATAAATGTAGTGATACAAATAGCACAGACAGTGGTACTGACATTAACGGAGATAATGTCAGTAACAGTAATGACTGGGATCTTTAATTAAACTGTTCAAAATTGCACTGGCCATCCTAGGTAAATCATTAAACCAATCCTGTATCTCCAAGCAGCACTGCGCATCAAAAGATACTTATCGCTCTCTATATGCGTGTTTGCTGGAAAAATAAAGCATACAGATCCTGCATTTGATGAAAGGTGTTTGGAGTCACTTAGATCAACAGATTATTCCATTTTAATCATGATACACCTGAGTGACTCCGATAATTGTGCAAGCAGTCCCCTTGTTAGTGAGAAAGTTATTTGGCTGCAGGTGATGAGCTGATTTAACTTGCCGAACGTCAAGTCTGGAAAGATCCCTGGGTTTTTCTCGATAAGAGTAGGGAGTTATCCCGGTGTCCAGGCCAAATTCCCCCCCCTCGGCCTTCACCGTGGCCTCCAAATTGTCCCCATGTGTGACTGGCTTGCACTTGCCCTGCGATGGACTGGCGTCCTGTCCAGGGTGTACCCTGCCTTGCGCTCGCTGCCTGCTGGGTAGACTCCCGCGTCCCGCGACACCGTATGGTACAAAGCGGTTTGGCAAATGACAGGACAAGTCAAGTCTGGTGAAAACCAAGGCTAGCAGAGACAGGAAGCGATATGCTGTCCTTTCTGAGCGAGCGATGCCTTCACAGCATCAGGAGTGCACTGTCCCTCTCCTGCTGCAGTGTTACGCCCAGAGTCCCTGTCGGTCAGCAGCAGGACACGATCTGGGGGACACTGTGGCATGGCAGCAACCCACACGTCTGCGGGCAGCGCTGGCCGGCCAGATGACCACACAGGGGACCAGCAGCGCACTAGTTTCCAGCGAGACAGTAACGCAGGGGGACAATTAAAAACAAATGAACTACATTATGGGGGGAGGGGAGAGGGGCAGAGGTCAACTGCCCAAACTTCCAAACAATCCGAGGCCTGGCCGATCCGCCTTCTCGTCAAAACATCCCGCCCCACCCAGCAGACAAAGACACACGGACACAGCGAGCTCAGCGAAGTGGTCAGTTGCTTTTTTTTTTATTCCGAGAATATCAGTGCTATACTTCTGTTTTGAAAACTTTTACTTAGTAAATATAAGTCTGGTACATTTTAGTATAAAATAACACTTTCTAGAGGGATTAACACAGCCGGCGGGCAGTGGGGACATGGGACCTGCTACACGAACAAGGCACTTGCTAAAAACCCACTGCTTCGTACGTTACAACAAAAAAAAGCACAGAAACATTCGACATGAACAGCTGGAAAACTGGGAAAGTCATTAAAGGCACCGTTTATACAGTATGTTCAGCGGGTTAAAAGAGTTTAGAGTTTAGTCTTGTCTGAGAGGTTTTTCCAGTGGTTCTGTTTATCACAGACAAGACCTGAAACATTCATCTAAGGTTGAAAAACATCACAACAGCAGCCTAGAGACTATAGCCCTGCAGGTTATATAGGGAACGTAATGACCTGATTGACTAAAGACCTGGAAACAGTACTCATTTATCCCCATTTAATCAATACCTGATTCAATTAACTCATTAATTCCTTGCTGATGGATCAGGATGCACGGAAAACAAGAAGACCCAGCATCTCTCCCCGACAAGGAGAGAGTGGCTGGCACTGGCTGAAACCAGCAGAAGCAGACTTGTGTTAAGAGTTTCCCGACACAAGCGTGGCGCCAGTTGGGATAATCGTCCAATGATTATCAGGAAGTGCGGAGAAGTTCGGCACAATATCCTGGCCTGTTGATTTCCTTCATGTGGAGGGGCACCCGTGCACGCAGGCAGGCTGTGGAAAAAATAAAGCCTTCTGGGAGTTCTGATGTGCTGGACTGGTGCTTGACAGGACAAAATCAGCCTTCTTGGACACAAACTGGCACTGGACACCCAGGTCTGGCATTGATCAGGAATCACCTATCATTACAGACCAAGCAAAGAGTCCGAGATCTGGACTAGGGCTGACAACGGAAGACACATCTTTATACAAAGAGTGGCCGAGGTCAGGAACAAGCCATCTAGGTACATTTCCCAAACCCATTTCCTGGGACCCTTTAAGAAACTACAGGATAAGATCTTCAGCTCAATATGCTACAAGCACCTAAAATGAACAGACAAAATAACTTGTCTATTATGTTAATTTGGCTTTTAATTTGAGCAGAGGTAGGCGACCTCTTAATTCAATGAAGTATATCATTGGGGGCAAAGTGGTAGGGTGCAGAACTGGCTGGATCACAGTTCAGTGACAACAGACAGGAAGTGCTATGCTAGCCTGGTTGTGAGGCGTGTGTGTGATTTGCACAGCTATTCCACTCTCAAACCACCCATTTCTCTGGAATAAGGACCACAGGACCCCATGTCTTCCCTACTTTAATTCAAGTGGGCCACTCTTTTGGGTTTCCGACCTACAATCCATTCCGGCCAGCTTTTGTCAGTTATTAGAAATCTTAGGCCAAGTATAAGGTGTTAATTCAAGTTTAACAACAAAGTTTTAACAAAATGTAACTGCACCAATTTAACCCATCTAACCAACCTGATCAACGAACAGCTAACCTGTTATCCAAGTATCTGAAGCAGCCAGTGACTTCTAGCCTGCTGGATTGGGTCTCTCAATCAGGACTGGATGTCTTCAAGCAAAGAAGACAGAGCTTCTACAGGCAGACTATTCTTCTGTCCTGCTTTTTTTCTTTTTTGTACCCAGTTTAGAATAAGATTCATTAGCTCAGATGCGGATATTGCTATTAAAGATTCTCTTATCGTGCAACTGATACAGGATCTACAGTCTAGCACAACACCAGCACAATCTCCTGCACTGGCAAGTCAAAGGTGAAAGGTCAAGATTGAAACAGACGATCTAACAGGTCAACTCTTTAGAAACATTCCTGCCCGGACAGACTAAAGCCCTCTGATCGCCCCAGAAACTTTCCGTTTTAAATGCAAAGCTGTTTTTCTCCCCTTCTCCCTCGCTCTTCAGTCCCAGCTAGGCTCAGGTTCGGCCTGTCCTACACAACATGCCTCTAAGCCCAACGCAGCTGGACTGCTACAAAGCTCTACGGACTAGAAAGCCTTCAATTAAAAATTGCACAACACAAGCCCCTCACAAACCACACAAACCACTTGCTGTTCCTTCATGACTGCCTGACCTGAACTACTGCTTCTGTCTCTACTGCTTTTTCCCCTATTTACAGTCATGTTTTTCTTCCTCTTGCATCAAACTTAATGGAGAGCAGTTGTAACATTAATGTCTTTGATAAAATGCGACAATCTTAAGCATGTTTGTCTGGCACAACCTTCCCCAGATGGCAGCAGTTCCAATCTGATATGCAAATCAAATCCAAACTCCGGACAGACTGGGGCATTTTAATACACGCGCTTCCTAGAGCAACTCGTTTCAGATCTCTGCATGTACTAAAAGTGTTTTTGGCTTTCCTAGTGCAGCTCTACCAGTAAAAGCTACAGTTATTCACAAACCCCCTCTCCACATTACACACCAGCTGGGTCTGTTTCCATTTCACGGGACAGGCTTGGGTTCAACTTGAAAGCTTTAAGCCCCCGCTGAGCAGGGGAGTGGTAGGATAATCAAAAGGGATTTTTGTTAAGCAAAAAATAAAATCTATAAATAAAACTTCTGTGGATAAACTGCAACGTTTTTCCTCTTGCTTTTCAAAAAATCTAGATATGAAAAGGTCTTACAAACATATGTTAAGTGCTATGTTGAGGAATATAAGTGCCACTGAGTTTGTGTCCTTTCTTCACAAATTGTTAAAAACTCTTCTGAGCATTCACTGGTCAGAATCTGAAAGGCTGATGTAGCACCTGCTACAAAACAGGAGGAGCGCTCTCTCACCTCTGGGGGTGACAAACATCTCATTAGGTGCTCTGGGGGCAGGAGCTCCTTCGATCGGCCCATGAAGACGTAGGGGTCAGGGGTGAGGAGGGAAGAGCCCACCTTCCTCAAAAGGTCCTAGCAGGTGTCTCATAAGTCATCATCAAGACATTTGAAAAGTACAAACGAGTGAGAAAGAGCGTGATACTTCAAAACTAATTGGCGTCATACAGAAAACTCTGTAAATGGTTAAAGGCACAGCAAGCACTTTTATGAAAATTTAACACAGGCCAATTGTACAGGAACGGGGCACAGGAGAATAGGAGAATAGGTGAGTAGAAATGGAAAAGGAAAGAAAGAATGCTAAAGGAGATGGGCGTTTAATCCCAATGGGCGTTTCTACCTCAGGTTCAAAGTGCTTTGAGCACAATTGCACTTTACAATGTTCCCACACCTTACAAAGATGGTGGAATGGCACAATCCATTGGACATCGTCAGGGGCCGTTTACACACCCACTGGATAACTGGCATCTTTTACACTCTGCCAAAAGTTTTAAGTGCACTTGGCGGGATATATTTCACCAAAGGTTGTGATAACAGTCACCTTCGACAAGGTTCCCACATCATTATCGATACCCTTGCTTCCTTGTTTGCATTTGCAAAATAGTTTCTAGGGAAGCACGTTTGGAATATACACACAAGAGGGCTCACATCAGGAGCTGTGCAGGAGTGACAAGACAATCCTCCTGACCTTGCTTGCTTGCAATAGTTAGGCCTAGTATTTTGTTGCTGGGCCACCTTTTTCAAGGGAAGGCTACTACATTTCCAAATAAACACGATCATTACAAGATCAAGATACAGGATATGAGTGTTTGAACAGCCAACAGCTGCAGAGATGAGTGTCTGTGATGTTTATGGTTGTCAAGAGCCACATTCCATTTGAGCCTGACTCCACGGTCCACTGGGAGAGATGTCCGACTCGAACGCACCCCTCTCACACAAGCTAACACAGAACTGATTCAGTCTGTGTTTGCTTCCTTGTTGTCCTGGTCCTCTGAAACCATTCTCCAGTCTCACTCTGTCTGTCTGGCAAGAGATCATTCTTTACGATTTAGAATCACCAATTAATTTTGTTATACCAACCCAATGTTGTAACAACCAACTGTTGTTCTCAAAATAATCTCAACTATAAACCCTGTGACCGCACATGGGGGGAATGAGGAAGTGCAGGCAGACTCCTCTGCCCCGCCCACCTTCAATCCACAGCACTGACTGGAGGAGAGGCATGTGTGTCACAGGTAGCACCGCCCCTAATCAGAGGATCAGTGCTGATTGGAGGAGAGGTGTGGCCTTCACACTGCACTGCATGCCTGCAATAACCCAGGTGGCCTCAGGATGTCACTGAGAGCCAACAGAGGCCTGACTGAGTAATCTCACCCTGTCCTTGGTGATCCTCAGCCAATTGTACACCAGACCTTTGGGAATCCCGATCACAGCTCCAGCCTGGAACCTATGGTCAGGAAGGTCCGCCTGTGCTCTACGATTACTTTAATGGAGGAACAGCTCAGTTCAGAAAGCCATGAAAACAAGAAGAATAAGCAACAGGTCTCTGCTGGGACAGTAGGGGGCCACACAGAGTTCGGGTTTCTATTTCTCCTTCTGTTCCAGCCTTCGTGGGCTTGGGACATGGTTCGGGGGGCAGGGAGAGAGGGCACCGTTGGGCGCCCACAGCAAGGTGGCGCTGAAGAGGCCGATGATGGCCAGGTTGAGCAGGATGCCCACTCCGAGGGCGCCCACCGTACCGGGGAAGGAAGGCAGAGCGGAGTGGGCGGACAGCCAGCCCCGGCGAGAGCTCATGTCGGCCAGGACCGCCTCCATCTGGAAGTGTGTGCCCACAACCGCGCAGATGTGGAACAGCTGATGGCTGTGACCTGCAGGGGACAGGCCGAGAGAGGAATTCTGTAAACCGTCTATGTGCACTTGGGACTTTTTACAGCTTTAGAAACCAAGTGGACGTGTCGCTTTTTGCTGATAAACCAGATTATGGCCTTTTAACATATCTGGATGTTTGCAAGAACGTATTTGCACAAATGGGCACCAACATAATCTTTGTTTTAACCCAACTTTCTGCAGAGCAGATTACACATGATCTTTATTCCACAGCTCAAATAGTACTTCACCATAATTGCTTTGGAGAATCTATTTTGGCTACCCTGGACACTCACTTTTCAGAGAACAAGCAGCAGTGTAGGACTCAAGCTGGGTATAATTGGTATTACATTAAAGATAGCTCAGGTGGGGAGCTGCGTCAGCATGCGTAGGCTGCAAAAGAACAAGTAATAGGTTTATTCCAGGCTGAAAAGAGAAGAAAGAAAACACACACGTTTCAGCCGTGGAGCCTTCTTCAGGTGTTCTTCACTTCTTCAGGTCTTCTTCACACCCGAAGAAGGCTCCACAGCCAAAACGTTGTGTTTTCTTTCTTCTCTTTTCAGCATGGAATAAACCTATTACTTTCTCCTTTGCATTAAAGATCACAGTCTCTACTTTCAAACTTAGGAGGTTTTAGGAGTCTAGCTTGAATTGGTTTGGGGACTTTTATGAAAATGTCCCCTACATTGGAAAAAATGGGATACACATTTTTAAGAGTGCAAGCAGCAATACAAGCTTAAAGCTGGGTACAACTAGCATTTAATTAAATATCTCAGACAGCTTTCAAATGGAGTTAGTTTCAAGAGTCTAGAATGAAGTGTTTTGGAGATATTTGTGAACATGTGTGATTGTGTCCAGGTGTCCTCAGTGATTTTTATATTCATGCCCAATAAAATAATTAATAAGAAACTGATGCTTGCTAGGGTTTACAAACTCAAAATATCAGTGTGACTGTGGAGATTCTACCTATCATTCTACACTTGTTAAATTTCTGATTTTATTTTAAAAGTAGGTTTTATGTGCACACACAGCATGCATGGAGCTCTCATGGTAAAGCACTGAGAAATAATTCCACACAAACTCTTAAGATACTCAAAATGGCCTAATTTATGCAAATCAGGAAAAAAATGTGCCAACTTCCATGACAAGCTGAGTATTTCTCAGATGTAAGCTCGAGTTTCTTTCAATAGCTGCATTTTACTGCCATCTAGTGGCCTGGAATAAAACCACTTGAAGTGACCATCTAGAACAGATCAGACCTGTTCAATCCTGGTCCCTGTGTGTCTACAGCTTTCCTAGATCTCTTTCAAGCAGCAGCACCTGAAGAGCAGTGAGAAGCTGCTGAGCTGCTCCAGTTAAGCCAGGAACGAGATGATTTAGCTCATTAAGATCTGAGCTGGAATGAAACCATGCAGTTATATCAGCTCTCCAGGGGCAGGATTGGGCAGCTCTGATCTGGACAGCGGTAGTGAGGGTTTGCAATGGTGAGAGCTAGGAATGTTTTTCTGAGAAAGGCTCTAGGCCCGTCACACCAAAGCAAAGGCACAGCAGAGCCGGGCGTGCAGACGGGCGGGCAGACTGACCGATGTAGTCAAAGCGTCCAGGGGCCAGCCTCTCGGGCAGGTGCGAGGCGAAGAGGAAGCAGGTGAGGAAGGCGAAGAGCAGGTGGTGACAGTGACTGGACAGCGCCTCCGTGTGGCTGCAGCTGTCTCCCAGGCACAGCAGCAGCTGGACTCAGGGAGAGGGAGAGGAGAGACAAGGAGGAAGAGCTCGGTGGTCAAACAGAGTGAGAGGGAGAGAAGAGCCCCCCCACCACCACCCCCACCCCACCTGAGTCAGCTGGCCCTGAAGCTCACTGCCCAGTCACACCCACACCAGCCAGCCTCAGGACAGCACAGGTCAGTCACCCCCTCACAACACACAGCACACAACACACACAGCCAAGTGAGAGATAGCAAGAAGAAACCGACCACAGCCTGGACATAGAAACCTGACATAAGCAGGACTGCTCTTGCTTGTCCAGAGAGGACAGGCTCAGTAACCACAATCTGGACACAGAGGCTGAACACAGGCAGATCTGGCTGTCCAGAGTGAACAGGCTGAGTGACCACAGCCTGGACATAGAAAATGAAGGACATTCAAGAACAATTCTGTCCCACACCGGGATGTGGGATACTCACTCTGTAAAAGAGGGGGATGTTGTCGAAGAGGAAGGGATAAACAAAGGCACCCGTCCGAACAACCTTGCTCCAGTGAGGAAAGTCTAGCTCTGGAAACCTGCAGAGCGAGAAGGGAGACAGAAGTCAGGAAAGAGGGGGGGAGTGTGACAACAGACGGTGCTGTCACCCCTCCAATCCCGAGTCCAACACCCTGGTATCATCTCTAACCCCTACCCCGAAGACCACCTCTAACTCTGACTCCTAACCTTTAGTCTACCCTTGAGCTTGACATCACTTCAATCCGGCTCTGAAATCCCTTACCCTGAACCAGAGCCTAAACTCCAGACTTTCTCCTGTCCCGGTTCTCCTAAATCCAGGACACTGTTTCAGCAAGAGTATCATCTTGACGAGATATCATTCCTACTGAATTCCTAAACCGAACTCATCCTCCCTTTGACTTCAGCTCTTGCTGGGATTTCCTTAGAGCTACTTATCTCTCTCTGACTGGCATCGTATCTCACCCCACTGACGCCCACATTCCGATTTTTCAAATCGGACTCTCATGAGCTGCTGGGCTTAAAGAAGACCAGGCAAAACAACAGCAGAGTCGAGGTAACCTGAGCCGAGCACCAGCTTCCGTTCCTGTGGCAGCATACCTGGAGTAGCAGGACAGGCCGGTGCAGATGAGGGTGTTCAGGACGGCGATGGGCACGAAGTTCTGGTGAAGCCAGCTGTTCACCCAGCAATCGGGCATCACATAGGCACCGTAGGTGATGGCACAGCCTGGGCGCGCACGCGAGATGGAGACAGGAGAGAGGGCACGCTGAGTCATGAAAGAGCTGCCACAACCCGCTCTGGCTGAAACAACACCGTCAACACTAGAATCCCCACCGCCAGCAGACCTGCCACTCAACCTGCTGCCATGGTGACCAGATCAGGAAGGAAATCGGTCCCACCAATACGCTCTTCACCGAGTACTTAAGCCTCGCCTCTACGACACAACCACGCCCAGTCTCAGTGATTTCGGCCCTGGTATCGGCCTCTGTGTGCGATTCCTTGCCTCAGGACTGAGCTTGGCTTGGTTTTGACTTCACTCTCGTGGATCTCCCCTTGATCTGTGTTTTGGGGTTTCCCTGGGTACTTTGTCCTCCCCACCAGGTGTCTCTGGTTCTGAGCCCTGCTCGTTTTCTGACCATGACCTTGGATTACTTTTTGACTCGCCTGGCTTAGCTTACCTTATCCAGAAGCTCTATCGCCCTGCAACGCCCTGCCCACTGTGAGCCTGGCCAGTACCTGGAGGGGAGACTCCTGGGAAAGCTGAGCAGATGCTGGAAGAGGTGTTTGTGTGACCAGTAGGATCCATGTGGGTCCTAATGCCCCAGTATAGTGACGGGGACACTATACTGTAAAAAATGACTCTCCGTAGTCATTAAAAATCCCAGGGCATTTCTTGAAAAGACTAGGGATGTCACCCCAGTGCCCTAGCCCAATTTCTCCCTGGTCTTTACCAGTCATGGCCTCCTAATAACCCCCCTCTCTGAACTGGCTTCATCACTCTGCTCCCCTCCCCACTGAGAGCTGGTGTGTGGGGAGCAGACTGGCGCATCATCCAGGTGGGGCTGCACATTGTTGGTAGTGGAGGGGATCCCCATTAACTGTTAACTGCTTTGAGGGGAGTATCCAGAAAAGTGCTATATAAGTGTAAGGAATTGTTGTTCTTACATTTTAATTGATTATTTTAACCTGCATCTGGCCTGCTACAGGATCAAGCCAGATCGCATGAGCTCAGTCTCCTACTGGCAAAGAACTTCCCTTAGACCGCGCCAGTAAAATACACTCGTCAGCATCATCACTTAAGATATAAGCCAGTTAAATTAACAATCACTGCAGGAGACACCATAAGCACCAGTGGCAGCAGTAGTGAGTGGCCGATGTGTCAGCAGGACTAAAAGCAGCACCAGGACTCAGCAGCAGGCCCAGGCCCTGCAGCCATGACAGAAGAAACAGCAGCTGCTGGGCACTGCCCACCCTACCCAAGCTGTAGAGGCTCAGCGCGCCGTAGTCCAGGAAGTAGCAGATGTGCCTGGCCTCAGCAGACATGGAGCTGAAGGTGTGGGCACAGCTGGAGGTGAAGGGGTACAGGCAGATCAGCACCATGTAGACCAGCAGGGGCCAGGTGTAGCTCTCGTTCAGGAAGTCCAGGGACGAGCACAGCATGGTGAACCGCCACAGGAAATACCTGAAGCACACAGAGCGCAGAATCAGCACGACGCACTCACAGAGCACTTAACACGCGCAATAAAATACCCAGGAGACACAGGGCCCCGGATCCGCACAGGGAATACCCCCGGGAGACAGAGACACAGGGCACCGAATCTGGGAGATCTGGGGGAATATGTGGGACAGACAGACCTGTATAGACTGGGCTCAGGTCACAAACACACACACATCCAGAACCTGACCGGCCATTCACTTCTCTTCACCCCGCAAGGCCCAGAGTACCAGCAGCAGGACTGAGGCACTCAGGTCTTCCTGATGGAACTGCCAACTACCCGGCCACAGGGGGGCGCTGTTGCACAGCACGCTTGGGGAACTCCAGGCTTCTCAGCTGCTCCTGTAACCTGTGGCCGGTTCCACAGACCCTGGGCGGGGCAGACAGGGGGAGAGGGATGGCGGGGGAGCGGGGAGGGAGGGTGTTGCTGGCAAGGGCCTACCATGTGGGCAGGAAATGGGTCCAGATGTTGACGGTTTCATTGGTCATCTGAAAACTGCTCAGGATACAGTCCAGGGCCGAGCTCCGAGGGTGACGGTACCCGGAAATAATGCCATCCTCTCGGAAGACCTGCCGCGCAGACAGGGCATCAGCAGCACAGCCTTGAGCAATAACAGCGTTTCGACACCGTGCGCAGATCCGGTGGGGGGGGGTCCTTACCCGGGGCACCTGGTGAATATCAAACAGCTGGGGGAGTTTGATGGTCAGCATGTCGGGGGGCAGACGCCAGCCGCCCCCGGCCCCGGCAGGCCTGTCCAAGTCGAGCCCCCGCCTGGCACGCCGAGCACCTCACCTGACGCTCACCGAGAGAGGGTCTGCAGGCAGGCCCCCCCTCCCATCGCACGCACGGCCCCCTGCGGCCCCCTTGCCTGAAGGCTGACCTCCTGCTACACAGGAAACACAGAGAGAGAGAAGCAGAAGGATGTGGAGTGAGAGATATGGAGAAGGGGAGAGAGAGATAGAAGGGTTACTTTTATGCCAACGTTTTTTTCCCACTAATAAAGAACGTACATACTGTCCCAGACCCATCTGCACTGAAGGAGCAGTCTGCCTTCCCAGAGACAGGGGGCTCTATCCATCCACAGAAGATCACGGAGAGGTAATAATGAATCAACAGGAAAATACGCATGGAGACTTCTGGTTTAAAAACAAAACTATACCACACTGTAGATTTTTTCCCTATTACATCCTAATTGAATCGACAGTCCTTCTTTGTTTTAATCAACCCTGCAGATGCGGTCTCTCCTGGCGCTCAGCAGCCCTGCTCTCTCCACAGGGAGGATGTGACGGACACACTGGCCCCTCCACGACACACAGCGGCCAAGCAACCCCGCTCACAGGCACTGCAGAGCCCTCATCCGGAGTCGCCCCAAGACGCCTGCAGCTCAGACATCCTTTCAAAGAACAGCTCCATTATCTGCTGTGCTTAAATTGACCACAGCTCATCGCCAACCCCATCTCGGCTCGAACAGAGACGGAGAGGGGACTACGGACATAAGGATGGGGGTACAAACCCAGACAACCCCGTTTCCAGCGTGGCACACACTGACCGACACAGCAAAACAAAGGAGCAGTACGGTCCGAACGGAAAAGGATATACGTTTACCACCGAGGACAGGAAGATGCGGGAGTCTGGACAAGCTCCGGCTCTGACGTTAGAGCCGATCCCCCAGGATCCCTCGAGAAGCGGACAGGCGAGATTTAAGTCTGGGGCCAGAAGTCCCAAGCATTCCCTATCCAGAGACACACTGGGTGCAGAGAAAAACATCCCCAGCAAGGGCAACAGGACCCCAGCTGCTCTCTGTGACAGCTCGCAGGAAAGAGTCCGTACAGTGTTGGCAGAGAACATCAACAGGAAACAGCACAGCAGCCTGCACACACACAAGCCGGGGTCTTGTACATGTACGCACACACACTGACAGAGACACAAGCC